ACAATTGTGTTTATGCAGAAAAACCCACTGTCAATCAGGTTTCCTTCACTTGACCTTCAACACACAACAATGGTTGTATTCAGTGATGCTTCCTTTGGTAACCTGGCTGATGGATCCTCACAAGGTGGGCATCTTGTATTGATGGTTGACCGATCTGGTCAGTGCTGTCCACTTACATGGCAGAGTAGAAAGATAAAGAAAGTATGTAAGAGCACATTAGCTGCTGAAAGTTGGGCATTAGTTGACGGCCTGGAGTCTGCAGAGCTGATTAAAGCGCAGTGGAATGAAATTGTGAAAATAGATGTTCTTATAGTCTGTATAACGGATTGCAAGTCTCTTTTTGATGCTGTGAAAACAACAAACACCCTTGAAGACAAAGGGTTGAGGATTCCCATGGCTTGTCTAAGACAACGATTCAACAGAAATGAAGTACGTTATGTGTGGGTTCCAACAAATCTCCAGCTTGCAGACTGTTTGACAAAGGCTGGTGCATCTTCGTCTTTGTTGCGTGAGGTGTTAGAAAAAGGGACACTTCCTAGTGAACTGAGACAGTACTCTGTATTGTAAGCTCAGTAATTGATGTAATGTGTAATGAACGTTGGAATTGAACTATTAAACTGTAATGTATAATGAAAGTTAGAACTGAACTTTTAAAATAAAAAGTGTGAATGAATGAGAATGAATTATTTGATATAATTCTATTGTTTTGATTGAATTGACCCACGGCAGAATCTGTGTTTTAAAGGTAGCCCAGTTTGATACTTGGGTATGTTGTTTTTAGGGATTTTTAATAAGTAAAGTAAGTATATTTGAATGTGAGTTAACTCCCTATATTTCAGGAGTATGTTATATATATGATGTCTCTGTTAGCCGTGGGGTCTTTGTATATCTATTGACTTCTTTCCTGACTTATCAACGTGTGTCATTGCTTCTCTGATTTAACAAAGATAACTTACCAAGTCTCGTGCTGTGGGCCGTATAAACGGCGCACACCACCGCCCCGCCTTACTTCACGGTTGCGGGGCGGAGCTGGTGCCGTTTGTCTCGGCCTCAAGTGGCGAGTGCTTGCCCATCGAATACACGATTGAAACACTAATTATTTATTGGAATTCTACAGTTTCCAAAACGAAGTACGAAGATATATTAACTTTGAGCTTTGTTTTGGCGACTGCTTCATCGATGGGCGAGTAGTAGTAGAGGCTCTTACGGGCATTGTCTGCTCGATACGTTAGGGACCCCAGATACACCTTACTAGACGTATTTTTGACCGTAGAATCGATTGAAAGTGGTTTCAAGATGATTGGACTGATTGTTCTGGGGTAAAATCGCAAAAACCCGATTTTTGGGCCAAAAATAGGCCAAAAAACCATGTTTTTTGATATTTTGAGCAAGTTAATTTTGTTGGCATGTCGGCAAAACTTGCATAAAGATAGCTAAAAGACAGCCGCACAAGATTGTATAAAAATAAAACAAATCCCTCTATTTGTTCTGAGGTAAAAATCCAAAAAAGTGGTAAAAATTTTGACTTTTTTGCTTTAAGTTTGAATAATTTTTTGCAGTTGTATTAAATCAACCCAAAAATAGTCACATCGTGTTTGCCTAAATTTTTCCTTTCCGAGAAGTACCCACTTCATATACTTAATCGAAGTTTGAATATTGTCACTCCGCAAGCGTTTTTGCCAAATTTTCGACGCGCACTACGCGCACAAGCATTTAGTTGTTATCAATTGGCACCCGCGCGTTCATCATAAATTTCAAACAGCTATAACTCAGCGAGATTATGTCCGTTCTAGCTCATATTTTCACACTAAATAGAAAATAATGTGATCTTATTGCTGACAAAATATGGATATAATTACTTTATTTGCCTTAGAGTAATAGACTGTCAAAGTTTAAAACGCGCATTGGTATAGCACGTGACTAATAAGGCCAAATTTATACTTCTTAACATATTATCGATCCTTAGACATCATACTATTGTGTCCAATTAGCGGTTAGGTCTCTAAACTCGTAGCAGAAAACACGTCTTTTTGCCCGTAAGAGCCTCTACTATAGGTATTTGTTGTTTAGCAGTGTTGAATATTGGAGCAATTATATAATGTATATCTCCATCATAATATAGGCTAGTGTAAAGATATATAATCAAGAATACAAACAAACGCGAACGGTATTAGTAACTCGCTAGATTATAGATGTTATTTAAACACATATGTTTACGTCAATTATTACTAAAATTAATATTCTTTTTGCTTTAATATAATTACATGTCACATGGATTAATGGATTAGTTGAATGAAACGTGTGCTACAAATGTCTACGCCTCACGCAGAACTGCGTACCGCTCAGTACTAATTCATGCTTGAGCGGTACTGCTGTTCAAAGTGGCGCGCACTCAATTTAATCACAATAAATAACGAGCGCGCGGTTTTTTGGAATCCCTCCATTATTATATTAATTAGATCGCAGTGCTCACGGCCTGTACTGAGTAAACGACAGAAATATCTTTTAAATTATTTTGCTTCTGAAATTTTGGCTCTAGTAATTAAGAAATGTGACATGTAATTGTAAGTTAACAATTAAATAGATCCTGTGCGCGGCGCCCACAGCTGACCTACGAATTTCTGAACAATTTTAAATTTTGGCTGTGTGCGCGGCGTACTGTATATGGGTTTGAAATTGAAATTTGAATTTATTTATGAATATAACATTATGTATTGATTATTTGTGGTAAATAAAAATTTTTCTTTCCTAAAAAAATTTTTCTTTCCATACTCTAGTTGTAGAATTTCGACTAAAATCAATAATATATAGAATAGAAGTACTTAATTTTTCTCCCGGAGCGAGTAATTCCATATTTTTTATTTATTCTAAGAAAAGATAAAAGGTATATATAATATAACGTATTGTAGGTTTATAACTTACCAAGACGAGCGCAGAAATAAACTCGTCAACGTGGTTTTAATATATTCTCATGGAATGGAACAAATATTTAATGAGTATCACTACGTAAAAACCTAAGGTTGGGTAATTTCCAGAATAGAGATGAAAAAAATGTATAATTAAAACTATTGCGAGACAATAAAATTGATTAATGATATCTGTACCGTGTGAGCTTGAGATTATTTAATTTGTTTGTTTACTGCCCGCTCCTTTAACATTCCTGTACAGGAATTAAGGCTGAAAAGAGCGCCGCGCACGCTCAAAGGGATTGGCGTGACAGGCCAGGTAACATATAATTTACAATTTAATATACAACATAAAATTAAAACTAGAATAAACTTTGGCATTTGGAAAGTCTTAAATCAGTGTAATGCGCGGCTTAAATTAATCATGTCGTGCACGATATTTTAAATCTTGACATGTGTTTCGATAAAATCGAGCGCTACATAATGAGTTCGAATTCATGAAACCTTTGCTTTAAGCAGCGTTTACCTGAGAACCTCAGGCTATCATGTTCATAATAGAGATTCGGCGAAATGACAGGCTGAGCGTGGCCCAGTAAAATTTTTGCTGTTTTAAACTGATATGACGACATTAGTTGCTCTAACCAAAGCCCTCTCGCTTGCAGTAGCGCGTCACGCAGTACGCGTAGACACATGGCTATGTGAACGACATTAGCTTAACTTATTTCGTTACATACTTCTTCTTAATGTGGTGACTTGGGTCCATAAATATAACAATAAATGCTGCTAAACCAAAAAGAACAACTGGGGTAGGTACTAGGTAGGTAGCCCTGGTAGGTTCGTAAACTTTACGGTCTGCTCTCTCCAAGATCAGCCTGCTTAGCTCCATTTTACCGTGGATCCTAATTTCTAGTTTTTATAAATACAATGCAAGTGCTTGTTCACTAATCTTAATCTACTTAACAACTCAATAGCCCAAGTCATCACACCCGAAGCTTACAGCTGCAAACCGCACTAGATGCAAAGCACAAGATGCAAAAATGAAACCATTCCTCGTTGAATATCAAATTCAAATCACCATGCAATCTCTTTTCATCAGTTCCCTTGACTACTGCAATGCACTTCGCTTTTATTGGAACTAATCATTCTGTTTTGAAACAGCTAAAATTTTTTTAGTTTAAGGTCTAAAGAGGAGAGAAGAAGTCAAGCCCTACGTAAAAGAACTTGGCTCAAGGTACAAGGACATATCGAATTTGAAATACCCCTGCTAACTTTTAAACTGCTCCATGGGCTTGCACCTTCATCAGTGGCGTAACGCGAACGTTGCCTGTTGGCCCCCCTCCCCCCTGCCAAAAAGGCGCCCCCTGTTGGTGCCCCTCTCCTTTTGGTGCCCCTCCCTAAAATTGAACAAATTAGGTGATTTTAGAGGATACGCCGGTAGAATCTTTTAAAAAGTGTGTATCTAGAGCAAAACAAACAGTTTTGCTAGTACTTTAGTTAAATTTTCGAAATTGTCCCACACTCAAACGACTATTTGGCGCCCCCCTAAGACGGCAACCCCCTGCACAGCAGGGTCAGCGGGGCCCTTCGTTACGTCACTGACCTTCATAGATGTCAGACCTTTTCGAGTACAATTCCAGTGGTGGCAGAGATGTGTCTCTTCATTGCCCTTTAAACAGTCCACCCAGAGCCTTCTCTGCTCCAAGATTATTATTATGGAGAAATCTTCCTCAAGAAATCAGGAAATGTGTAAGGGAAAAATAAAAGCTCACCTGTTTAGAAAGTCCTTTGACATGTACGGAGTAATTTATACATTACTAGAAAATGTTTTAAAATTAACATCCTTTAGCAGGTCAGTTTTATGCTTTAAATTAAATTATTCTAGGCTTTTAATTTTTAAGGATTTTCAGGAAACATTTGAGATAATAACATTTTTTGCGTTTCACTGTGTCTGCCAACAAAATTGTAGTATAAGTCAGGAAAGGAGGACTTTATTATGGTCAGCTACCCCCCCCCCCCCCCCCAGATTATTCTACTGGTGGTAAATGTTCTGAAAATTACATTATTTTGTACTGATGAAAACATTCTATAGCAGACATGGGGAATATTGCTGCATCAGCAAAGTCAGCACCACCGCCAGATGACATACCTGAATTGGGTATTGGATCAGGAGATCCTGCAAAGGATCCAGCTCCAGATAATGATCAGTCTGACTCTTCTAGAGTTGGGTCTTTTGAGGAACTTCCACGTAAGGTCAGTAATGTCTTTATTGTTGCTATCTTGGTTTAATCTGTGAAATTTGCATGTTATGTCTTAAGATAATAGCTACTGGCTAGTGGCTATTGCACTATGTATGTAGTCATCTTCTCAAAATCAAATTTCACAATAAAATTCTTTTATGGTTTTTTTGGTTAAGTTTAATTAAGTTCTCATACATACATGTTACATGGCGAGATCTCCAGCCAAAAGGATTAGTCTGTGTCGACTGCGTCATTACTTTGTATCATACAACTTCGGCGGGTAACATTTCTCCATCCCTTTTGATCTGCAGCTAATCATACAAATTACAATCAATCGTGAGTTCATTCCGGTCCAATCTCTGCTCAGCATCCTCAATAAATACATCATTTAAGCTCTTCCTAGGCCTGCCTCTTGATCTCTTCCCATGCTTGGGTTTCCATTTAAGTTCTCGTAGTCATTTAAGAATATTTATAGATTATTATAACCATTGATATGTACAAAGCCGATAATCTTTTGCCAGCCCCCAGTAGATAATATTCACCTTCAAGTTGCATGTTATATCCTTGAATTACACAACATAAATTTAATCATACTACAGTGTAGACTTTCTGTCACAACAAAAATGCAATCCTCAGTAACAACACTTTATCTCTCCCAAAAATTGTTATCTGGTCCAAGTCATACACCAAATGAGCATTATATATTCATTGTTGAAAATTTGCTGATGTAAAATGTGCTAAAATTAAATTTCTTGTTTCATTGAAAAACATTTTTTGTTTCATTGATTTGACAAATTTAAATTTCAGACGAAAGACGTCCTTGCAAAACCGTTTGAGGGTTGCAAATTCACCTGGAACAAAATGATTACAGACAGATTTCAAGCCACTCATACCATCAACATGTCCTCATTCAAACCTGCAGCCTATAAGTTTGGTACCACTTACGTTGGAGGAAAGAAATTGGGGCCTAATGAGCAATATCCTATTCTTATCAGGTAACTCAATAACCGGGACTGATATTTGAAATCTGATTATTAATTGTGCTGTCGTGTACCAATACACTGTACATTATTCTATCATAAACTATTACCAGTTATTATAAGAAAACATTAAGTTTATCTAAAAAGTGTCCGAAAAATGCTAAATATATTTCAGTGAGTACGGAGGTGGAACAGTCCAGTTTCAAGGAATTCATTCATTTACTAGTGAGATACAAGCCAAGGCAGTCATCCATGCTACTGACAAATCATTCTCGATGTATCAAGGTAGGATTTATTCTAAAAATTAGAAATGAAAACCGAGTCTATTATACTGCTGGACGCGTATGATTGGTACACTATTATAGTGTGTGCATTGAAATTTAATGTAATGTGCTATAATTATCATAGATATGCTAAATCTACACAAATAGTAAGATCATATTATATTCATGATTTTTACCGTCAACAACACCCCTAAAAAGTGTAATCTCTGCCAAGTTTTGACTTTTGCGATTATATCAGTATTGCCAAATTATTCTTAGCTAATTTAAATCCTTTTTCAGCTGACATTGGTTACAAGGGGGACGATTTCTCAGCTCAATTAACTGGTGTTAATGCCAGTATTATTAATCCACAGGGAATCTGGGTCGGCCACTATCTTCAGGTTCATATCTTTCATTGTAATAATTTTGTTCCCTCTATTTTTTATACTCATAACTTCGAAATAATGTTGAAAAAGCTATGACTCTATGAATTATTCTATGTTTTCTCGTGATATCATCTAAAAAAGAAACTAACAGCCTCTGTTACAGAAAGTATCAAAGCACTTATCACTGGGAGGAGAGTTAATGTTCCAACATGGTATGGGATCTAAAGCTGCTGTTATCACGTACGGAGGAATGTACAAAGACGACAAAAGCGAATGTAAGTTATGAAACTTAAATTTACTTTTTGTTGTACAGGTTATTTGATAGAATATTACAAGATCTCTGCTCCAGTGTAGTGTGCATATCCCAGACTGTCACCCAAATCACTCTGCTGCTAAATGGCCGAGCTTCAATATGATATCTGAATCTCATAATCATACCTTCAATTCTCCGAGCAACTTCAATTTGCTTTCTTCTGACACTGTAACTGTCACTCACCATTTGACTTCATTATAATGAAACAAGTTAGTTTTAAACGGGCTCTCCCTCTCTGGAAACTCATTTTGTTCGTGATATTCATAATGAGGTTTGCATGAGTGAGAGTCCAGCTAGCAGAGTCTTAGTGTCCCATGGGAGGAAATTAGCAGTGGCCTGGATGAATATTTCGCATACCAGATAGAGAAATAATTTTCAGATCTGTTTTAAAGTTTGGTTTTGGTGACAGTTTGGGGCATAAAGCGCAGTTTTATATTATACATTTTTAAGGATTTTGCTACGGATTTAGATTTGCTGTCATGTCTTTCAGAAACGCCTGAACTTTGTTTAAAAATCCACCAACAAAATATGTCACTTATAGTTTGTAAGCTTTGAATTATTGTACATGTTGTTAAAAACACCACTAACCAGCCCTTGGTCCCCCAGTCGTGGTAAAGACGGGTGAACCAGGAACCCACTTCTGTTACTACCAGAAAGGAAACGAGCAGGTGGAATGTGGGGTGGAGTTCGAGTACGTCAAACAGATCGGCGAGTCCGTCACCACCTTCGGCTACTCCATCGACCTACCCAAAGGACTCTCCAAATTTAAGGGATCCATAGATTCGGACTGGTCGGTTACAGGGGTTTTAGAAAAACGATTCGAAGCGTTCCCGTTTTGTTTTTCGCTTAGCGGACTGTTGAATCACAAGAAGAATCAAGCTAAATTTGGTATAGGATTTACAATAGGGTAAATGAGTAAATGTGTTTAGAGACGCCCTTGTCAGCTGTGTAAAGTATTAAGTTATTATTTTTATAATTAATTGAGATAGCTTTTTTAAACAGAGCTCCGAACTTCCTATGAAATTTGACCTATATTAACTATTTTTCCTCGCTTAGATATCGAGACTGTTTCTAATGTAAGTTAGCCACTCTGATTCAGTAGCCTGAATTTTTAACTCTGATTTATATAGATTTATTTGGGTAATATTCTAGAAATCTAATATTTATCTTACAGCCACTGGTCTCTTAGCTTAAATTATTTAAGTTAATTGTTATTATTAATTACAGTAGTCACGCGAGTTACTAAATAGATAATGATAGCGAGACCAGGAAATACGTATAGTATACAGCAGGTATACTATACAGGTATAGTCAGCCCTGATCCACTCTGCGGTTCAGCCATTCTATAAAATATATCCACATTTACAAAGTCACATACAAGATTGCAATTCATTCCTACGATTTAGATGTTGCTGGAATGTTGTGGATATTGGGCCTCATTTACCTTAACGTTAACTATATCCACATTGCAAGATAACACTATCTTATAAAAACTCATACTTACGAACATTCCACTGACAGCCTGACAGTCAAGGGAATTGTCCCAGTTAAAAGTACACCGGGCATTAGTCAGCATTGATGATTATAAACTAGTAAACGGATTCCTCAACTTAATTGCCGCATTATAATGGCCGCGTTACACATTACCATTTACCATGTAACCCCTGTGCTGCTAGGTGAGGTCTCTATACACAACTTCTGTACACGTGCTGTATTTCCCATGTCTGCTACATCACAATAGTACATCACAATAGTACATCACAATAGTACATCACAATAGTACATCACAATTATAGTACATCATGTGTGTATGGATTGATAATCATGGTAAATTATAACAATATTTACGGTACCTGTGTAATGCAATGTGTACTGATATATTCAACAGAAATGGAGCTGCTTGGCTGATGCAACATATTAATCAAGTTTGCCTGATCAGTGGGCACCTGGGCAGTGATCATCCGTTCTATTTTATTTGGCACTGTAATTTTATAGCAAGCTACCTTCTAGAAGTTTTATAACATGATCCTTTTGGAAGCTATTTTGATAAATAACAGTGTTTTATTGTTGATACATATGCTTATTGTTTTGTCTCGTTGCTTGATCGTTGATCGTCCCTTATCAATCTAGCTGAACTAAAAACCAGAATTCCATGCAAAAGAAACATACCAAACGTACATGAGTCATGTTTGACACCCGAAATATAGCTGGTATTGACTAATGCCTAAGTGACTGAACTATAAATTATCATAAAGCATGTTAACGACAGAAGAAGAAGACAAGCCAGATTTCCAGACCCCTGGAGTGGTCAATAACCCAGTAGGATGGGGCCCTATCTCTATACCCGAGCAGTTCAGGGACATCCCCTATCAGCCTTTCAGCAAGAGTGACAACTTGGGCCAGGTATTTAAGATCAAGCTAGGTCCAAATTTTAGTTTCTCAGTAACATAAATTTTGTTACTTATTTCTTTCATATTGCTTATTTCTTACAAATATTGCTTTGTTTTCATAATTGCTTACTGATGATAACTGTATTTGACTGTTTAAATCTCGTGCTATAAGTGTAATGAGTGCCAACAGTTCATAAAACTCAGATCACAGACTGGACAGGCAACTTGCTAGAGAGAAGGTACAGGAACTACAACCAGCAGTTTGGTACTGGACAACATTACAGCTACTTCCACGAGGAAGATGAGAGCTCATTCCAGGTTCATACTGCTGTATAATAGCTTCATAGAATGTTTGGTTTAGTTATTAATCCATGGGTCCCGGTCAAATTATATGCTATTGTATTCGGATTAGAGTAGGAATTTGTTTGGACATCAAAAACTAGAGTGGTGTAATAGATCCTCAGTTTAAAATTAAAATTTCCATCTCTGAGTTACAGATTGACAAACTAAACAAAACCTTTTCAGTTGGTAGACTCTTCTAAGCCACAGCGCAGTCTGTATCAGCGCTCTCGCGCTAGGTACCAGCGCACACGCCACCAGCGTCCAACACAGCGTGTACAGGACCCGAAAACCGGAAGAATGACTGTGATTCCTAAGTACAACAATCCGATGAGGAGAAATAACTGGAACAACCGTGGTCACGACAACAAGAGTAATGTAAGTTGTTAGCCATCTTGTCGATTATCCAGTGCAGCTTTAATTTGGTACTTAACCAGGATTTGCCAAGACTCTGAATTGTGATGCTTAAAGTAACAGCTAACCAGGCCCGCTACAGAGTCTTGATAGAATTTAAATGATTACAGGTCAAACTGAAGTCCTCCGTGGAGGTGAGGAAGGACTGGGAACTCCAAATTGAGATAGAGTTCTCGCAGATAGCTAAGAAGTATCTGAACTACCCAGAGAAGGACATCACTAATCTGGTGGAGTGTGGAACATTGGAGCACTATGACAAAAAGTACATTTATGCGTATAATTATGCAAATTATATGTGTATTATACATTATTTATGAAACACCATACAGTATTCTGTACACTTATGTCACGCAGTACAAACAAAGGAGGGGGGGCGCGGGCTGACCATATTAAAGTGTATTAAAGTATATTATCTCCCCCCCCCCCCCCCCCCCCCTAAATCGGGAAAAAAACCTACATTTTAATATACTTTAATATATTTTAATATACCCAAAATTAGTCAAGCTATATTCTTCGTTCAGATTTTTTGCAGGATAAGCCTGTTTTTGGACTAGTACATGAATTTACACCCAGTTTGGTCAAAAAATGGGCTGAGTTATGAGCTTTAAACCATTGCATATGCCCATATTTGGGCATACGCACCAAATTTGAAAGCTTTCGCCCAAAATTCGATAGAATTTCAATAATTTTGAATGAGACTAACTTTATGTGAAAGACATAGCTCAATATCTGTTGAATAGTGGATATTAAGTAAAAAGACTTCCATGAACAAAATTGCACATAATATCTCGGTTCGGGATACTAGCCAAAATGACTTTATTAAAATTGAAATAACTCCATCAGTTTTCAATATTTTTGCATGAAATTTTCGGAATCGATAAAAAATTGCATTTCAAGCTTATTGTGGGCAGCGATTTTCGATTTAGGCCTCCAAAAAGATAAAGTATATTAAAGTATATCCCCGCCCCTAAATCGGGAAAAAACCTACATTTTAATATACTTTAATATGGTCAGCCCCCCACCCCCCCCCCCCCCCCCCCCCAACAAAATTGTTCAGTACAATCAATGAAATAGTCAGTAAAATTATTACTAGCATCTGAGAAACTGTCATCGAAGTATATTAATATTATACAATTCAAGTCCGAAGAATTAAAATATTCCAAGAATGGCCACATATTCAAAGAATGTGCTCAAAGAGTGTGGGTCGTATAATAGTAGAGAGTGAAGGTAAAAGTTAAAACCTTCTCTGTAAACCACCAATTAAATCCGAAGTCCGGAATCGTTATTAGAAGTACACTTATTTATTATTTGAAGGTGATCAAAGGTCTGTATCAGTGATGGCTGCGCTTCCAACGTTTTCAGACGCCTCCATTATTATTGGCTGCTCATTGTCATTCTTGACGGAAGGGTCTCTATACATTTTTGAGCAACATTTCACCGAAAGAAGCGAATTCAATAGTGAAACGAAATTCTTACGAACTGCCGAAACTCTAATAAACAAAATGATCGGATTCCATGCTGAAGTTAAGATTGGCATCAAATAAAAAGAAGCACAGAAAAGACCAATTTTCAAGGAGAGAATATCAAAACTCCGTAGCAAGTCAAGTAAAGTAATTAATGGTAGTAACACAACGATTGAAGAAGCGATAGAAGTAGCATTCATCAGCAGGATCGTTCCACAAACACGCTTAGTAACACTGTCCGTTTGGAACAACTCTTGTTTCTGGATGTAGATGTAAACAATAGTTATGAATGAGAATATGACTCCTAAAAGGCAGTGAAGGACGTTTGAAAAAACGTAAATTTTACCGAATATCCAGATAAACGTATCGGACTGTTCGGTATGGAACGATATTATGAGCGCCAGATTGTTCATAAACATAGTGAAAGTGTAGGCTCTTAAATATGTTTTGATGGAACTCTTACTTAACACTTTCAAGGGATCAATTATCTTTAGAAACCGGGTAACAGCGAGAAGGGTTGTGGCACACTGAGAAAAAGACCCTGCCGTACAGGAAAAGGTACCAAAAGACAAGATAACCAAGTTGGTAGGGGACGTGAGTGTAGGTCTGATCATGAAGACCGTGTAAACGATTGGAGTAACCACATTAGTCAGGAAGTCCGAGACAGCCAGACTTGAGAAGAGAAAGACAGTGGCTCCGTGTTTACCAGTGGAGCGGTGGTAGTGTAGCAAGGGAGGGTTTAGGGTGGTGGAGACAAGGAAACACAAGAGCAGGATGATAGAGAAGGCGTGGTTTATCGTCTGTTCTGTGTTGGTTACCTCGTAGGTGGTGGTGATGTTGTAGCCCACCATTTCTAGTGTCCAGAACAGCAGCATCCTATGTTAGAGACAATTGTTTAGTTTTTGTGGGGTTTCTGAGGCTTCAAACAAGTTAGATTACAAATAATTTTTTTAAATACTTTCCGTGCCCATAAAATCCGAAACGACGTAATCAGCGTACACTTCGATATACACTGAATCCAGTTTTTTCAGAAAAATCATAAACTAGAAATCACAGTTTTAATGCATTTATTATCGACTAGACTCGCTCACGAGATTCTAAACCTTTTGCGTTGTGTGACCACACTTGACTGCAAATTGGAAGCACGTGATCGCACAGCAACTCACTTCTCTTGAATAACTAACTTTCATAATATTAATGTATATATACAAATTCATTGAATAACCTTTGTTATTTCATTGTGACTTGTGTGCCTCATTTGGACAAAGCCCGCAAACAAATATTCAATATTGAATTTAAAATGGTTGGATTTTAGAATTTTGCACGTGCCAAACAATTTCATCGCACCGCTTCCGTTTTGGAATAAGAATAAGAAAATGTTATATATTTTAAGTGGTTATTTAACAATGAAAAGGAAAATAATGTAAAATAAACAACCTGGATTAGTCGTGGAACCGTAGCGGCCACCCCTAATTCTCAAATGGCCACCTGCACCTTATGCAAAGTAGAGGGCGGCCATTTGGCCATTAGCACAACACATTTCTTAGTAGATTAATAGTAAGAAATTCTTAAGAGCATCTTAGAAAGGTTGCCTTCTTTTTGACATCTTACATCACTAAAATAGCAGTGAAACTGGCGTTTATATTGGAACTGGAACTCCTCCTGTATTTTGGTACCCTTAAAAACATCCTCCTATCAAAAGTCAGAAAATATTCTGACTTCTAACACACGAGAGGCCCAGCCTCTCTTTAAAAACAAAAAAACACGAGGGTTCAGAAAAATAGAGATGTATCGAAAAGTGGCTATTTAGAAGCTAGAATGCTTTACTGCACAGTGCACTGAAAATGACAAGAATGCTGGAGTAATTGGTCTAATTCCCGATTTCAAAACTAAGGAATCGTAAAATTGTCCCTCGTGCGCGTTTGTAGCATCTGGCCAATGCTAAATTCCAGAGAACTATAATAACGTGAGTCCTCCTAATTAGTGAAAATTACTTTCGAATAATTTTTTCCAGTAAAAAAGTTAGTTCTGGGTAGCTGTAGAAAAGATGGCTAGTACGTAAACTAAAAACAAGGGTGGTTTAGTAGAACTTTCTAACTCGCATCACGTGACCTTTTTATAACTGTATAAGCCTCCTATTCAGGCAGGCAAGAGAACACCTGAAATTTGGCTGAAACATTTCAAACAGCTGCTCACCTCTTTTACCACGAAATTACAAATCGATTATCTGGGAGTGTGATATCTAATGATTACACGACTACACCAGCACTGGCACACCTGCAACTGCCTGCAGATATACCTCTTAAACTGTATTCCTTTTTCGTCGGGGTCACCCGTGGACTATAAACCTGATCAGCTGCGGCTGTTTTTAATCGGAACGTAGTGCCCTGGCACTGGTTTGAGAATTTCTACTAATTAATTACGGACTAATTAAATAAGGACTCTTTTGGCCCGGTGCAACCGGTGCCCCACACTCAACTCTACCAAATGAGCAGAAACATGTTTCAATGAGTATGATTGCTGGGTAATACACTTGTATAATTGTGACGAGGCCTCTACAGATCCTTCAGCTCTTAACTAATTATAATGGTAATAAATGGCGTACTGATAGTGTGTAGATGCTAGTACAGTTTCAATTAATGTTGCGTATTGTCAGCCGTCTTGTATGTTCCTATTCGTCGTCTCAAGTTTAACATTGTTTACCAAAAACGAGCTTTGATATCGGTAGATTATTCGAGAAAGTTCGAGCCACTAATCGGCTTAAATACCAAGTTGATATTTTTACAATGAATGTTCTGAAATTTCTCTCATGTTCAACGTAGATTGAATGCCCGACGAAATGTGTGAACCCGAGCAAACGAAAGAATATGATTTAACGGCGATGTTGGCCTCAAATAAATAAAGGAAATAAGTACAATATAATATCAGTAAGTCTAGTAGTGAAAATATACAGGGTGGCCCATAAGTGACTACCCACACGCAACCTCTTAATAACTCACGTAATTTGTCTCCAAATTGCACCAAAATTTCAGAGATTATAGATATGGGTCAAACTTAGATTTCCTGAAAGTTTCGTAAGCCACGCCCAATTACAGTGGGCGTGGCGTGACACTCCCTCTTTTTCACTATTGTCTTCATAAAATGAGAACGCTTTAAGCTAAGAACTCCAAATTTTTTGCACACATTTGGCTTGATAATTTAAAACCTTTCCCAAAGTTTCAAGTTCATTGTTCAAAATTTGGCTGAGTTATGACCATTTCAAAATTCATCGGATACGTGATCCGAGCACTCAGTCAGTGATCTCTGCACTCAATCAGTGATCTCGTCACCCAATCTGATCAAGAGTAAGGTGTTAGAGTGTATTAATGAGGTTCATTAGGCTTTACCAAACATACTGAGGAGATGACGACCTGATCATGATTGATTGGATACCGATAATGACTTTGCTAGACAGGAAAACACCAAATTCTTCGTAAAAGTAAGGTCCTAGGATTCCACGAGAACTAATGGCGCACCAGATCGTGACTTTTTCAGGAAAGTCAGGAATCACGGTCTAAAAGTTGGTGTTTCTTTGTGATCCGATAGGCCCGGTTAGAAAGATCTCGCTTTAGGATTCGTTGAAGGGATGTTCTGCTGAGGTCTAAGGCAGGAGCTCGTTTTCGGGTGCCAATTTTAGGTGTATCCATCACGTCATAAACAACCATGGTGATGTTTTCTTCGGTCCTCGCAGTCGTCTTCTGCCGACTCTTCGCCGATCGTTTGCAGAAAAAGTGAACTTGATCTTGTGATGCATATCAAAGCAGCTTTTCCGGCAAGGGGATGGTCGGTTGAATTTCATTTTAAATTGTCGTTTAAGCTGAGGGCAGAACTCCCCATTCTCTTTCTTCAGGTAGACAAACCATCGTTGTTCCGCAGTATAGGGAGGATAGTGAACCATTTTCGATGATTCAATGGATAGTTCATTCCTTTTTATCGATTGTAAGGAACGAACCTGTGACTAGCAGGGCTAACAAGCCCTGCAACCAATCAAGCTGTGCATGTGAGCCAAACAGGCCATTAACCAAGTGCAGAGATCACTGACTGAGTGCTCGGATCACGTATCCGATGAATTTTGAAATGGTCATAACTCAGCCAAATTTTGAACAATGAACTTGAAACTTTGGGAAAGGTTTTAAATTATCAAGCCAAATGTGTGCAAAAAATTTGGAGTTCTTAGCTTAAAGCGTTCTCATTTTATGAAGACAATAGTGAAAAAGAGGGAGTGTCACGCCACGCCCACTGTAATTGGGCGTGGCTTACGAAACTTTCAGGAAATCTAAGTTTGACCCATATCTATAATCTCTGAAATTTTGGAGCAATTTGAAGACGAATTACGTGAGTTATTAAAAGGTTGCGTGTGGGTAGTCACTTTAGGGCCACCCTGTAGTTAGAAGCTAACTTAAGACCTAATATTATGTTTACTGATACATTTAACAGCAGTTAGTTAAACTTAAGTTCGCAAAATAATGTTTCACGGAAAAAAAGCGCCCAAAAGGCAGTACACAGAAAAATTAAGGAAATAGACATTTTATTGAATAGTTTGAAGATAAAAGGTTTTAACGTTAGTAGTTATAGTTATAGTCACTATGTTGTGTTCAAATACACCCAATAAAAACAGAGACTGTTGTTACATTTTTGACGATTCGGCATAAAGTGTTGATTTTATGTATCGCTTTTATGATACTGTAATGTTTTATGCCGCGTGTGGACGATATTTCTAGCTCGAATTAAATCATCGATGCATAACGCTGACGCAAAAGGTCGTAAAGTGGAGTAATATTAAAGGACCAAGCATTATAACTAAGTAATAAGTATAGCAAATTAGCAATACTTTCAAGTTTCAACAAGACCAGAAACGTCCAGGTAAGCTTAATAAACGTCTTAATAAACGTCCAGGTAAGCTTAATAAACGTCCAGGATTTAGATAAAAGCCGTATATTTAACACGGAAATAAACAAACAATGAAAGACAAATTCCAACAAACATATTATATTAAATATATATAGCCAAGAAAAGGAGTACCTGTTCAAGTTAGGTATGTCTAATTTCCAAGAAACTTAGTGGATTTTACTGGTGCTGCACGCCGCCAAGTTGTTGAGCATTGCGGTGGCGGGGCCGTTACTAGCGTGGTAACGTGGGACACCACGTGACCTAAACTGTGGGAGCTAGAGAGCCGTTGTTTAGGTATTGTGGTAACATGCAGCATGATGGACGAAATCACACAAAGGTGACTTGTTGCACTTTTGGTGAGTCAGAAGTCACATATTTGGAAATATTCCAACGATTTTAGAGGAAATAGAGGAAATCGACTCAAATAGAGGGATTAGCCGATCTGAAATCGATTTATCTTGCAATGTTTAGTTAGGTGAGGAACAATCACCAAAATGAGTTGCTTACCTGCTGTATGTTTTCGTACTCTGCTCTTCACTCAAGTTGCAAAGCTGCAATAAACATATTGCAACGAACATTTCTCTCTGAAAATTGTGTTAGTACCTGTTCGATCAGTTAAGGTGACGATTGCTTCGATCTTTCGGTTTCAGCTTAACTCCCTAGGTCATGAGTAGAACCGAAGGATCAAAATATAGGTTGCTTGTTGCTCGTATTAACTATAAAATATCAATTTTGAGGGATAAGGAAGTGTTTGTCGGTTCTGGGACCTAGTTCTCTAGTTAAATCGATTTCTCGTGCAATTTTAGGTTAAGAGCAGTCATCAAAATGAGTTGATAACAAGGTCGATTTCTCGGTTATTTTTAAGCTTTCGTCCAGAAACAATCGTTCACCTCTCTCCTCTGCTGAACAGGTACTTACTATTAAAGTAAATGAATGTGCATCACCTCCCCACGAGAATCCACATCTGTAACTCATTCATTAAATTATCCATTCCTCAAAATATGACCCATTAGGCCCTTAAATAACCCATCCATCAAATGTGCCATCACATACAAGCGGGGCTAGTGTTGAGGAGGAGAGTGTAAATTATACATTATCAAAACGGTGGCTGTTCTCTAGAAGTTTTACGACTTAATAATAATATCCGTTAAGTTGTGTCTAAAAATGGATTCTCTTAAAACAGCGACGTAGGGGCAAGTTCAAAGAAAATGTAATTGTAAAGCTGTCTCGGGTGGCGGGTTCCATAAAGCAGCGTCAGCATTTAAATGGTCCTGGTCGCAAAAAACCCATTCGTGAAATGGTGACGTGCTTTGATAGAGATAGAACAGGTGCCATCACATACAGTATTTTTAGTGGACATTGGTGTTATACTATGCCAACTGTTTTATTTATAATATGAATTTTATCTCTGAATTCCATCCCTGAAACCATACTTTGTCATAAGAATTCAAGGGGCATGCCCCTTGCTAGTATTCTTTGTTATTGCTAGTATCCTTGGGTATTGCCAAGTGACTTTAGAGCACGTGCTGCACACAGTAGTAGCTATAACAGTACCTGTATATAATTCTGGCCTTGAGAGTGATTAATATGGGGGGTGGTCAATCCCATGCCCATTTATTTATTCCTCAACTTTTGGTAAAATGGACATCAATGGGGTCCCCCTTGCCCTCCCCCAAATATGAATATTTATGTTGGTGTGATAATTGATATGGGATTTATAAGATGAATCTTCTTGAGTTGAGTTAAAACAAATGGAGTATGGTTGGTGCGGGCGGACCGAATCCGAAAATTGTCGAATTTTGACATGCGTTTTCAGAGGAATATGAGAAATTTTAGTATTATATAAATATATAGGTACAACTTTCGCGGGCTGAATGAAATTAAAGATCATGTAACAAAATGTATTATATAGGCACCTATAACACCGTTAAGGAATTAAAGAATAAAGTTATTTTAATCGTTTTTGCGTGTAAGGTCCTGTTACATAATTTAATAATATATAATCTCACAAAATATGCTCTTGCTAGATTATTCTTGTCTCGTCGATGCATATAATATACTATCCAAACGCCAAATCCTAGTAAATGATTTCACTTCACCAATCCTCCTAACCTCCCACTCTCTCCCTCCAGATACGACCGTATTACAACTAAAGCAGAACGGCCCCTGACCATGACTAACAGACTGTTCCACTATGTGTCCACCACAGACGACCCTATCATCAGGGAGCTGGCTAAGGAGGGTCACGTGTTTGCTACTGACTCTATCCTCGCTACTATCATGACCTGCCCCAGGTCTTACTACAGTTGGGATATCATCATCCAGCGTGTTGGCAGCAGGTGAGCGAACTTTTTTCAGCTGATTTTATAGTTTCACTTTTACTCTTACTTAAGTTGAGATTGCATCATCCATCACGGACCCGAGTTGAGATGTCATCATCATCCAGCGATCTGAGATGGTTGCAAATGTATATTTAGGTCAGTTACTTTATCAATCGGTATTCACACTTGCAGATATTCAGATATGTTACTTCACAAGGTAAGCATCCCTAGTATCTGATATTCTCATCTGAATTTTTGGCAGAAGATTCATGTCACCCCGACTACATACTCTCCATCCTGTCATGTTGGGTTGTGTTGCCATACATCCGGTCTAGATTAACAGTGTTAAACCCAAACTTCATACTCCCACCTCTAGAATAATTTGTCGCTATAAATTATATATCTGTATAACAAAACTACAGACAGTTAAACATTGCCCACGTAGCACTGAATTGCACTTTTAAAAAGAGTTTAGTGGCCCAGCTAATCATCGCTTCCAAACATACCAAGTAAAACTCACCACCCGCACTTTTTTAGCCCTTTTTTCCAACTCGTCCCGTATTTCAGATTGTTCTTTGACAAGCGGGATGACTCCGACTTTGACCTTCTCACGGTTAACGAGACTGCTAACGAGCTGCCCGGTGGAGACGGTGGAAGTAATTCTCTGACCAAGCTCTCTCTGGAAGCCACCTACATCAACCAGAACTTCTCCCAGCAGTGCCTGAAGAGGGAAGCTAAGACCTACAAACGTCCCAACCCATTTGCTAACGAGGAGGATGATAATGAACCAAGTTCCGTTGCTTACAGGTAAGATTTGTAAGATTTGTAAGATTTGTAAGATTTGTAAGATTTATTGTTGCTGTGATCTGACTGTTGACTGTTGAGGTGTACTTGTTAGTTGTCCATTGTCCGTTACTGACATTAATGTCATGTTTTTAACTATTGTTACTATGTTTTGTCATTATGACAGAACATAATATGCTTATACTCGTTGTATTACCTTCAACACGGACCTCGTATGTATACCGTACTGTACTGTGGGGCTGTTTCCACGGACGAAAATCATCGTATTGAAGTCTCTATCCTCTTGGTTGTGAGTTGTGTAAGTTACTGATTATCAGTTGTAAATAAGTTGTGTTTAGTTGTGCTTAGTCAACAAATTTAATTGTGCTTAGTAATAGTCACCAACGACATGCATATTGCATAGCTATTATCTAATCTTCTCTTCGTCTTGCATTTTTTTGCCGTTTTGTGTTAGTTTCAACAAACAAAGCATATTGATCAGGATTTGTATAATTCAAATTGAAATTCCTGAATCTTCTTGATTTGAGGGTGTAATGACAATTTATTCAAGAAAAAAAGGTTTCTGACCATGGCGAAATAGCGAAAATTTGTCTCCGTTTTCGCTATCTTGTGATTTCTTTTTACCCTTTTCGCAATCATTAAGGACATAGCAGTATCCAAGAAGCCTTCTTCGTCATCACTGTGACCATTTTGTTCGCCATTTTTCCGAGAGACTTCGAAAATATGGATGGCAACCACAAACATATTATTGTCATGGACAATTCACGCTCTTATCCTAGATTTGTTGCATTTTCAACGCGAAAACAAACATTTGTTCGAATTTTCAGACAATATGTCCTTCATGTTATTGTTTCGACATGTTTAAAAACGTGTATAAAAATGTTGAACGTTGGACAACATTTATGGTTCTCCGAAATTCCGAAGATCAACGTCGAAAAATTTGGTAACTCCAATGTGCACTTGATACACTATGATCTAACTTACAAGATATGATCTATATATAACGAGATACTACTTGCCGGGTTTTGTAAATTCCCTAAACATACTATTGGGGGTCATTAACACTTTTATACCGGAATAGATACTTAAACTTATAATATGATCTATCTTACAAGATATTAATAGATATATTATGATCTATTCATTATGATATATTATCTGTTACGTACCGTCAGATTCCCAAACATACTTTCATATTTTCAGTGACACGCAGATTTAGTCCGGAATATATTATCTATTTGTTACGTTATATTAGGTATTTTTCATGATAAGCTGCTATCTGATTAGTTGCATAGTGCTGTTTTTCTGTACTAGGTCAAACTCGAATGGCTTGAATATATTTTTCCTGGGTTTATTTTTATTGCCCTAGCGTGTTATTACCCAAGATTTACCGCGGAGTTTGGGGGAACGGAGACAGCCCCGGTAAATGGGAGTTCGCGGTAAATTTCAGTTTTACGGTGCTAAAATGTATTTATCTGGCAGGTACCGTAAGATCCCCCTGTTGGGACCAGGAGCGGAACCCCTGACCCTGATCTGCCGTTGTGAGGTAGATGCTGTTACCACCAGTGCTAACGGCGAGGAGAAATACATGAACATCAAGGCGCTAAACGAATGGGATCTCAAGGGAGGAGCAAGGTATGTTTGGTATTCAAATCTTTATATTGTTCTAAAATTTGGCGCATAATTATTTTTCATGAGTGCAGTAAAGTAGAATAATCTTAATGACACACACACACACACACACACTTTGCAGTTAGACATGCCTACTTTTAATTGTAGGGACTGGGGAGTTGGCGTAAACTTCACTAAATTTGTTTTGACACGAGGCAGCTATTTACGAATTTGATTTGTCGTTGCTTTAAGCTGATTCATTAATTGCTGTCATGCGTCGAAGTATACTTACGTCACCTCCTTCACCTATCGCCTATAATCAAGTCATTTTGTTATCAGTTTATCTCAACCTGTACTACGATCCAAACCATTAACACTTAGTTCGCTTTTATGTTGGATGGTATGACCTATTGTTTGTCTAGGCTGTAGGCAATGATTTCACGATTTGTTTTATGATTTGATAGAATGGGACTATAAATGTTGTCGTCCTCAGTGAATGGAGACAGAAGTTGGACACCCAGAGGGGAGACATCTTGACCACAGAGATGAAGAACAACAAATGCAAGTTAGCTAAATGGACGGTATCTTCTATTTTGGCGGGATCTGATCTGCTAAAGTTTGGTTATGTAACCCGGTCAATGCCGCGCAGTTCCGGGGAATCCATTGGTCATTCCATTCTAGGAACCCAGGAGTTCATCCCAAAGCAGTTTGCCGCTCAAATCTCACTGGATATGAACAACGCGTGGGGTATTTTGAGAGTTATTGTGGATCGTTGTATGCAGCTTAAAGATGGAAAGTATGTTTTGTACAAAGAGCCAGGCAAGGGAATTTTGAGGATTTACAAAGTTCCTCTCAATACTTTCGAAGAGGACAATGACGACAGCGATGAAGAGGAAGAAGGGAAATAATTTGCCTTTTATTAATTTAAGTGGGGGTTGACGGATATTTTAGTGTTGCGTATCATTGATCTCGTACATTCTAATCTGCTTCACATTCGCCGAAAATTCGGGCTGTCACAAGTGCTTATGTTTGTTTCTGGTACACGCGGAGATATTTCCATATGAAAAGTCCAATGGCTCACATTCGCAAATTACGAAATTTTCAATTGGTGCGCGCGTCCCGGGCACGTATTGTTACTTTACAAGCTTGTGCCTGGCCTGGGTCAAACTTACGATACCTTGAAGTGATAGGCGTTGATGGGTTTAGTTCTTTCTATTCCTCAGAAGTGGTCAGGCTTACCTGATAGTTCGCTGTCTATGAGCAAGTCATTCATCTTAATCTGATATGAGGCTTCTGGCTTATTGTACTGGCCCGATATGAAACAGCAACTACTGAGTATGTTTTTCTTGAATTGGAGTTTAGAGATCTGCTTAAAACTCTCAATTTAAGCCTAGTTCGTTATGTTAAAGTTGAATTCTACCAGAAAAGTCAGGAATCGTTCATATTTATTACTTGCACATTCAGTTGAGATGGTAGCGGAGGAACAGAGCGGACAGCTTAATTGTTGTGGAGTTCTGTATTTTTTGTAAGGTTGGACCAGAGTGGTTCAGTAGATTATAGCCTGTAGATTCTTTGCCTACCTCTCAGTTATGGCAACCCTACAAGAAGAGACTGATTGCGGTATCATACAGATAAGAGAAGGGGGAGTCAGGGGTTTTTGTCTTTGTGCAGTTATCTCTTGTGTGTGATTAAAAGCCCCACAGACAAAACCCCACAAAAAAGCCGCATGTCTGGCTTAAAGTGGGGTTAGGGTTTCGGCCATGGATTAGGTCGTTTAGGGTTGTGTTATACAGGGCCACTGGCCATGCTGATCTAGCGACATATCTTGCACATGCCAATCTAATTGTTGCGGGGTTTTCCCCGGTAAAATGTTAATTGACTTAAACATGCCGACTTTTTTTGTGGGGCTTTGACCGTGCCAGGTTTTGCCTGTGCTGGCAAGTCGATCTCGGTAGACGCTAGATGAGAACTTGAGTAAGTTTATTACTTTGTTATGTCCATGTAATTGATTTACTACTACAGTGTCCAAATAAGGCCCGACAAATTGTTGCACCTGCTACACCCGAATAGCTCTTTTATGTTTAGAAGTTGTTTGAGCACTGATCGATCATCCCTTACCGAACGTAACCTAACTTCCTTGCGTATTATTTATACAGAATATGCCATACTTCCCGCCGTCTTCCAATTGATAAACTTATTAATTAAGTGCATGAGTAATGATTCGAGTGTCGGGCTGGCCAGACGTGACGTCCATTTTGCATTGCAGCCTCTAAGTTTTGGCTTGTTGCCTGGTTACAAAGTAGCTATGAAAAATACTTCAGTTACTTGACGCGGTTAAAAGCTTTCAATATCCTTCGGAACTTGACCTAAACCTGAGGTGCGAAGCTGACAACAGTCTCATAGAGTTGAGAAGTGAGGACGTTTATCGTCATGCACACTTTGTATTTTGTGGGCGTTACGGAATATATCTTAGTATGTAACACAAGCTCGTGTGTATATTTGAAGGGGATGTTATTTCTCAGACTCCCCGAATAACAGCCTGTGTTAAAACCGTCCGCCGTCCACGCAATTATAATAGCTCTCGTTACAGACCCCTGTCATCACGGTTGTATGACCAATGTACAATGAGGATGGTCGTCTTACCTTTGAGATCGTGATGACGATGTCATTCCAGGAAAATGACTTGCCACGGGGTGACGTGACATTTCGTTGGCGTGTAGCACCCCCGTTTTGTCTGCAGTAAAAGTTTTAACTGATCTTATTAAATCATTCTGCTCTCTAATCGTAATTTGTGAGGTGCTAACGTACTATAAAGAGGACCCCCTTCATCAATATTTACACAATGCCAGTCCGCATAATTCAGTACGATTCAGTACTAGGGCCGCCGTCTCGGATATTTGATAGCCCGAATTTGCGAATGTTTTACTAAGTATAATTCTACCAACTAAATTTGTTGAGCCTTTTTATACGGTATCGCTGACAGGTTAAATTATTTTCTTTAATTCGTGCTCGTCTTGCTTTCCTTTATCATCCTCATCCAACCGTTAACCTTTCTCTTTGTAGGATGAAATGTGAAAGCGAGCACTTGCCGCCTCTCAACCAATGGTCTTGCTCCAGTCCCGATTACACAGGATCAAACGATCTTCAGATTGAGCCCACCGAAAGCTCCAGATTCACAGTAAAACCAGTGCCATCCAAGACTGAATTCTCCCAGAGCGAAGACGAAGGGAATACCGATCTCTTCTCAGGCTCGATCCTGAATTCTGAGATGAGACAACGCAGACCCAGCAGATCGATACTGCAATCACCGGAACGAGAACGCCTATCAAGAGAGAAGTCCGTAGTGTGGAAAGATAACCTGGTGGAATACCGATATATTGACGGGAACCCGGTGGACAGAGGACTGGTGAACTGGGGCTCCGTGTGCTACGCTGTGCTCCTCATCGTGACGAGCTATGTGGTCTACTGTCTGCTGCACTCTGTGGGGATCAAACCACGGGGACTCAGGTGAATTGAACTCGATATATCCGGCGTGAAACCCGCATTAGGATGCCTGTATGTTTAAGAGACTCGCACTCAGCGAGCGTTCAGAGACCAGCACCATGCGTGCACAAACGGTCAGACAGAATTGAATTTTTGCCAGAGATCATATTATGTTAGATTTATATTAAAATTTAGATCCTGATATACCGCTGAGTGGTGATGCGTAGATCGTACAATATGAATTAGTGATAGACAAGTTTTATCAATGAAGACTCATGATTCGATATTGAAGTAATAAATTACTACTTTCAGGCCTGTATTCTGCAATATCCTGCAATATTTAGAAAACTGGGCACTTCCAGTTCTGAGTCGTGCTCCTGTGTGCTTCTGTTGCGTTCTGTTTTATCTGTTTTTGAGTTGTGTGTTTAGAAAAGTGGCAGACCGTATGTTGTACCGGAAGTCAGGCTCTTGGATGAGTCATTGAGCGTTTACCCGGACAAATTTGTTTTGAAATGATTTCCGATTCCAGATGCCGTGCATTGGCCATTGAACGAAGTTGTGCATTGAACGAAGTTAACCATCCGAAATTATTGAGTTGCCAAATGTTTTTAAAATGTTTTGTGTTGAATCGATGGAAGCAGTTTTGCCGAATGATAGTAAATTGTGATTATAGCGCTTAGATTAGGTCCGTAGCTTAATATAGGTTTAGAAATAAAGTATGTTTATTGAATTGGATGAAAGAGAGATAAATTACGTTTGATCTGTCGTATTTCTGGATCTAATTTTTAATCAATATGTTTGCAAAATTGTAGCTTAATCGTTTATTTTGATAATCAAAGTTTATACAGTAATTACGACTTTGAAATTGTGTAAATATTGGAAAATTTTCTGTCTTTTGAGAATTACAAGTATGTGTAAGTGTTATATTTTGGATTATTTTTGATTGTACTGATAACAAAATACATTTAACTTTTTCTTTGGTTTAATCATTGTATTCATTCTCAACTATAGCTATAGGATAATAGGACAAATTTACCAAAATCAACAATCGCGAACATTCTCTTAATGTCAATCCTCATAACCAAAATGGACAACCTCCCAGACTAATTCTCATAGCAATCGAATTATGCTATCTATAATTGAAATGCCACCAACCTAATATTAGCCAAATTATGCAAAATATGTCGGAATAATTACCATTTAATTATAGACCTTATCAGGATGGTGTCTAGCCCGGAACTGTCATAGACCTGCCCTGACAGTCATCACTTCCACCACCACTTCAGAGATCACACCCACCCTGACAATTGACATGTGTCTCTCTCCTGTAGCTGTAGAACTTCTCCTCCGCACAACTTCTCCTCCACAAACCTCCTCGAACAGCTTATGTCAGCGCATGCGATGGAGGGGCCGGCAAAGATGAGGTTTTGGGACTGTCTAATGTGTGTTACTGTGCCAGAGTGTGCCAGGTAAGAATAATGAGTTCTGGGGTAGGAAATTAAGGTGCGATCCCGGTAATTGTCGGTCTAGATAACACGGAATCTGAGGAATTGGAGCCAAAAACAAACCGACAAAACCGGTCTGACACCTCTACATTGTTGCTTATAAATAAATAAAGTTGTTATCAGCGTACCCCCTTTTTTAATGTAACAACGTGACGGTCCCTCTCATATTACACAATGTCTAGCCCGGTCCTGTAACATTACTCAGTCCCGTTCGCGTTTGTAATGAGCTCTCCCTCAGCTCCGCCCACCACCACCCTTCCTACACTAATGAAATAAAGTGGATTTTAGCGGCGAATGAGCTTCTCACGTTGTGTCGTTTATTATCATCCGTATTTCATTTATAATGTGTTGTTTAGTGCGAATATTGGCAGGTATAACTTCTGTACCTAGTGTATGATTGCTATATTAGTGATTATGTTGGCAGTGAGACTGTGAGCCTGCCTTCCTATTGAACCTGTTGGGCTGTTGAGAGAGAATGTGTGTGTGCGTGTATTTGACTGTTATCATTAGGTTTTGTTACAAAGGCTTTCTCCACTAATGAAATAAAGTGGATTTTAGCGGCGAATGAGCTTCTCAGAAGAGCGGCTGTGTTCACGTTGTGTCGTTTATTATCATCCGTATTTCATTTATAATGTGTTGTTTAGTGATTACTAGCAGGAACCCGTCTAACCCTAAATGGTGTCAAGACTCAAGAGACTAAAATAATCATAACCTGTGTGTGTGTGTGTGTGTGTGTGTGTGTGTGTGTGTGTGTGTGTGTGTGTGTGTGTGTGTGTGTGTGTGTGTGTGTGTGTGTGTGTGTGTGTGTGTGTGTGTGTGTGTGTGTGTGTGTGTGTGTGTGTGTGTGTGTGTGTGTGTGTGTGTGTGTGTGTGTGTGTGTGTGTGTGTGTGTGTGTGTGTGTGTGTGTGTGTGTGTGTGTGTGTGTGTGTGTGTGTGTGTGTGTGTGTGTGTGTGTGTGTGT